TACTCTACTCTACTAAACCTTTAGTAGAGGTCTCGATACTCTACTCACCCTACTATTAGGTTTAGTACTCCTCCCGATACTCTACTCTACTAAAGTTTTAGTAGAGTTCTCGATACTCTACTCGGCCTACTATTAGGTTTAGTACTACTCCCGATACTCTACTCTACTAAACCTTTAGTACGACTGGCTGTCGATACTCTACTCAAAATACTCTACTCTACTAAACACACCCTTATTTAAATACACGCACAGAGAGACTACCCATTCGAGATACACCCACAGTCGAACGGGATGTGGTGGAGTCTTTTCAGCAAGTGGAGGAAAACCGGCTGGGTACTGGACTTATTTCGAGTCTTTATAAGTCTATACACTGATGATTTNACACGCACAGAAAGACTACCCATTCGAGATATACCCACAGTCGAACGGGATGTGGTGGAGTCTTTTCAGCAAGTGGAGGAAAACCGGCTGGGTACTGGACTTATTTCGAGTCTTTATAAGTCTATGCACTGATGATTTATCAGTGATGCCAGCTGGTGCTAAGTAAGCACAAACACATCTGTATAGGTAAATCTACATTTTACAATACATCCCTGTAGTTCTCTACTGGGTCAACGACAAAATATCGGGGAGAATCCCTCCGTAGTGTCGTGTACTGTAAGATGTAACCTTCACAGGGGACACGGCGCAGTGTCTATTGACAGCTTGCTGGTTTTAGGAATTTAAGGAGAAATAAATAATATTGATGTAAAATCATGGAAGATGGAAAGAAGGCTACAGCAGTACATCACTCGTTTTTCAAACCTATAGATTTTTGAATTTCACGGGCAGTAGGTGTCTTACGCCGTTTTTTAGCAACTACCAAAAAAAAACTTATTTGACCCTTTGGGGTAGCGTATCAGTGATGCTTACAGTAGTAGAAGAGAATGGTACACCTGGTGCATGGTAGGTAGGGCATAGCGTTCAGTTTGTATCGTGTTAGCTGGTTTCCTGGTATGTTTGGTGTTGGTAA